AATGTTGTCTAAACACTCACAGCAAATGTTAACTGAATACCATGTATGGAAATTACCTACTTGGAGAAATGGCTTATTGCCTAGGAATGAAGTTATTGTCCAGCTTTTGTAAGAATCCACTCTTGTACTGAAATTGGTTACTTTGTTCATCTATTCTATGCATGCTGTATCTTTATACACTCTTGCTGATGAGCAACAGATATAGTGTCTTCTCCCAGAAAGAGCCAGCTGGGCTCTTGTCAGTACTCTTGACTGACAGTCTTCATGGCGGGTGTAGACCAGGAGAGTTAACAACCACTGACTGATAACTGACCCCAAGAGGATCTTGTCAGTAGACAGAGGAAGAAGGCCTCCAGGTACAAAACTTCTACAGAAAAAAACCCAAACAACAAAACACCCGAAATCTCTTGTATGCTGAACAAACAACTTCATTCTTCCTGAGGGACAGAGCCAAAACATAGTTAACTGGACCTCCTGGACGATACCTTATCCATCCTGGGATCACAACCATCAGTGCTATTGCGTTCACTGATTCCAAGTCATAGCGCCCCTAGAGGACAGAGCGCTGCTGCCCTTCAGGGTGTCTGAGGAGGTAATCTTGATGAAAGCAGAAGGCTGCATCTTCCCTTTGTGGAACAGTTGTTGTTGTTTAGAACTGTTGGGTGGAAACCAACTCATAGCTGACCCTCCAGTGGGCTTTCAGGGGAAGTAAATCACACAGCAGGAGACCGTCTATCTTCTTCCTCCCACAAAGCAGTTGGTGGATTCACACCCCATGCCTTTCGCAGGACAGCTTCTTACCACCAAGTCACCGGAGCTCATGGAGCAGCTGGTGGGTTCAAATCACCAATCTTGACCTTAGCAGCCAATATTTTTTAAAATTTTTTTTTCTACTAGTTTATTTACAAAATTCAAATACAAATTTGAACAAATTCTTTCAATTTCCCTCACCCCCCCCATCAAATTGTACAACCCAATGATTAATCTCCTCTTCCCCCTGCACATCTACATCCCTCTGCTTCCAACCTCTCCCATCCCTCCTGGATCCTTATCCTCATTCTACAATAACAGTTTTATAAAATATTTATCCTTGTGGGACTGAGTTAGTTCACTTAGCATAATGCTCTCCAGTCCCTCCCAAGTGAGGTAATAATTTACAAAGTTATTGCTCCTATATGCTGCATAGTATTCCATTGTGTGAATGTACCATAATTTCTCAATCCATTTGTTTGTGGTTGGACATTTGGGCTATTTCCTTGTTCTTGTGATGATGAATAATGCTGCTATCAACACTGGTGTATAAATCTCAGTTTGTGCTTTAGTTCTCAGATTCTCAGGGTATATTCCAAGTAGTGGAATATCTGGGTCATATGGAATTTCTATGTTCAGCTTTTTGAGGAAGCGCCAAACTGCCTTTCAGAATGATTACACCATTTTATAATCCCACCAACAATGTATAAGATTCTCACCACATCCTCTCCAGCATCTATTACTTGCTGCTCTGTTAAACTCTGCCACTGTTAACTGGAGTGAGACGGTACCTCATTGTGGTTTTGATTTGTATCTCTCTTATTGCCAGTGATTTGGAGTATTTCTTCATGTGTCTGTTTGCCATTTGAATATCTTCCTCTGTGAAAATTCTTTTGCCCATTTTGTAACTGGGTTATCAGTCTTTTCTTGTGGAGGCCCAGGAGTATTCTGTAAACTTTTGTTATAAGGCTCTTGTCTAAGATGGTACTAACAAATATTTATTCCCAGTCTGTAGGTTTGCTTTTCACCCTGTTGGAAAAACTTTTTGATGTGCACAGCGATTTAACCTTAGAAGGCCCCATGAATCAATTTTATCCTCTTTAGATTGTGCATTTCTGGTTGTATTTGGCAGTATCTTTATACCTTGGACTACCGCTTCTAAGCTTGATCCCAGTGTGTCTCTTAAGAATGTTATGGTTTGGGGCTTTACTCCCACCTTGAGTTGATTTTTGTGTATGGTGTGAGATGTGGATCCTGTTCCAGCTTTCTGCAGGTCAAGTACAGTTTTGCCAGCACCATTTGTTGAAGAGGTTATCATTTCCTCATTTGACAGCTTTGATTTCCCGATTATCAGTTAACCATAGATATCTGGGTCTATTTCTGGGTTCTCAATTCTGTTCCATTGGTCAATGTGCCTGTCATTGTACCAGTACCATGCTGTTTTGGTTACCACTTAGCAGCCAATCTTGAGTGTTATAATTCTGTGTCAGAAACAACTCAAAAGCATTAAAAAAATGACAACACATGTGGAGATTCTTCCTTTCCTTTTTGTTCCATTTCTTCTCTACTCTCAAAGAACATTTCTATTTCTTTAAAAAAAGAAACCTCATGTTAAAGTTCAACTTTAACTTTACATGTTATGTTGTTGTTGTGTTGTTAGGTACCATCGAGTTGAGGACGACCTGCAGTGACCCTATAAACAACAGATCTGAACCCTGCTCTGTCCTGCGCCATCCTTACACTTCCTGACACACTAGAGCCCATTGCTGCAGTCACTGTGTCAATCTACCTGGTTGAGGGTCTTCCTCTCCTTTGCTGACCCTCTGCCTTCCCAAGGATGATGGCCCTCTCCAAGGTATAGTCCCTTCTGCAACATGCCCGAAGATGTGAGGCCAAGCTTTATCATCATTGCCTCCACGGAGCACTCTGGCTGCACCTTCTCCAAGACACATTTGTTCTTTTGGAAGTCCCTGGAATGTTCAGTGCTCTTCTCTAACACTACAGCTCAATACTGCATATTATGAGTTTTTTTATAATTAACATGAGTTTGTACAAGTGATGATACTGACTGCATTGTTGTTGTTGGGTCTTTAGTTGCCTTAAATAACAGCTTCCATATGGTACCAAAAGTTCATTGCCATCAAGTTGGTCTCAAACTATAGAGACTGTCCACTGAATTTGAAAGGCTGTAAATCTTAAAGGGAGCAGGTCATCTCAACATTGTCCTGTAGAGCTTCTGGCCTTTTGGTTAGCTGTTCAACATGTAACACATGATGAAAACAAGTACTCCAGAGCTGTGACTGAGACAAGCACTAAAGCCCATTTTCGGACTCCCGAGGATGATGCTTCTCCCAAAGGTCAGCACTGTTTTCATCAGATACTCTCCTGGTAGCTAAACCCATCATTCACTGGGGATGGCGGATGATGAGGAAGAAACATTAGGTTTCTTAATGAACTGTTGTCTCTGAGAAGAAATCTTTGGAATGATACTAGAAGTTAATGGGGAGATGGAACTTAGCACACAAAGATTCACTTTAGAAATGCAGTAAAACAAATTAGACAAAACTACATGGGAAACAAGAATTTAGGTACATTACAGGTATATTCTGTACGCATAAAGCTATCATTCACAATCATCACATTTATGTCAAAAGCCACAGTTTCTTCTCATTTTATTCCTTTTGGTATCATCTAGATCTGGCCCAGTAGTAAGGAACTGCACCATCAAAGCAAAAGTACACTGTTCAAATTCACAAGCTGCTCGGTCTGAGAAAGATGGACAGTCTCCTCCTGTGTGATTTACTGCCTCTGAAAATCCACTGCATAGGGTCAGCTAAGAGTTGATTCCAACTTGATGGTCCATAAAAACAACAATAACAACAGATTTTACAAGAATAAGGCCGTGGTGACTCTCTCTCTCTCACCACTCCCCATGCATACTGTTAGCAATGAGACCATCAACCCTTACCATGGCTGCAACATATTTAATAGCCACAAATTCTTCTTCTCCCTGAGTGCATGTCCTCATGGAAGGATGCTACTCCTGTCATGAGTTGAAATCTAATTCTCTACCCTGGGGTCTGGATTTGTCTTGACTAATGGGACATGATTAGGCAAGATGCAAACATCACTTGAAAATCACGCGCATTCGGGGCTTGCTCTTTTGCTGCCATTGTTACCCCTGAGAACAGCACCCGAGCAAGCCTAAGCGAGCCTGCTGAAGTACTAGAGGCCACATGAAGGAGAACTGAGGTCCTCCAACCAATACCAGCAGATGCCATGCCAGACTTGTGAATGCGGCCAACTGGGACGAGCTAGCCTTCCCACTGACCTGCAATGACTCAAGAGGCACAGATGAGCCAGGTCAAAGTCAGCAGAAGCCCCACCGAAGCCCCAAGTCCCAACCCCCAAGATCAGGAGCTAAATAAATGCTCTGGTTTTAAGCCATTATATTTTGGGATTGTTTATAATGCTAAGAGATATATGGAATTTTATTTTGTGCAACTAGGTGACATATATAAAGGCAGGGTAATGGTGCTCTCTGGGTCTAATTCTGCCACAGGCTTTCGCTGGTATTTAACTTCCTTGGTCTTGTCTTCAGCTTTTCTATCTCAAAGAAAGCAATACTTTTCATGAAGGCAAACATTCTAATTCGAATGTAAAAACATGATAGCTTTCGTATTTTTCTTCCTCTCTCCTCATCAGTAATTTCACCACTATGAAAATGGCATGTCTCATTTGAAAAATGAAATAAAATTTCATTTGACAATGAAATGTCTCATTTGAAAAAATGAGACAAAAATGTATGTTATGTTGCTGTGCACAGTCATAACTGACCCTCCAGCGGGTTTTTAGAGGCTGTAAATTGCACAGGCGGGGACAGCCCATCTTTCCCCGATGGAGCAGCTGGTGGAGTCAAACCTCATGCCTTTGGATTTGCAGTCCTATATGTGAATAGCATAATCATTGTTTCAAATGACTACCCCACCCACTGCTGCTGAGTCACTTCAGACTCACAGTGAGCCTCTATCAGGGGTCCAGGGCTAGAAATCTTTACAAGAGGCTGCTCATCTTTCTTCCTCAGAGTGACTGGTGGATCCAAACCACCAACCCTTTGATTAGCAACCTGGCACATCATACACTATGCCACCGGAGCCTCTTGACCAGGAAAGATTTTTCTAGAAATCAAAAGGCCCTGTAAGAGTTCCCGGCCTATTCAGAATCACCTGGAAAAACATTTCGCGACTTACCTGAGACTTGAAGTAAGTTTCTTGAGGGGTGGCAAGTACATCTGCAGATGCGATGTCTAAATGCATAAGGGTCTGCCGGAAAGAGGGTCGGTTGCGAGGCTTACTCTGCCTAAAAGGAAGAGGGAGTTTGTGCATCTCAGAAATTGTGTTCAGGAGGATGGATCTGGTATGACTTTTTGAAAAGCGTCTGTGACTCTGTTATCCCTGTAAATGGTTGTCTCTCACTCAGTTCTCATAGAAGGAAGAGTAAAAGGAACACACAGCACTGTACACTTCCAGTGAGGAAGGAAGCATCTCTGCGTTCTGCCACATGTGTGATGCTCCTCCCTCAGGACTAGGAAGACTATACGCACTCTCATTTATCAAGGTCTTCTATTTTAAGATCTGCCAAATGCTTCATTTAAAGTTTTTAAATCACCCTAACATAACTCTATGAGTAGGTTTCACTTCCATTTTACACATGAGAAAACAGATACGCCTGAAATCACACAGATTGAATAGGACATGGTTAGGACGTGAACAGAAGATTCTCCAACTCCAAAGCTCTACGTCTTTCCACTACTAAATGACGCCGTCCACACACTGAGAGCTATCTTCCCTGTTGTTCTAGACAAATGGTTTTGAAGAAACGAGGTTAAAGGGAATACCAGGGGAAATATATTACCTACCATGTCTGTTTCATTAGAATTTTGAATCCATCAGGGCAAGTGGAAGGAACTGGAAGGTGGAGGCTGTTGCTTCCAACACCCCAGATAATGGCGGATGAGTCCACGTCTTTGTACGGGATCTCCCCTGTCAGCAGCTCCCACAGCACTACTCCGAATGACCTACAGCCGTGTCAGGGACACACGGGGGACAGAGAGAAAGTCCAACTTGGGAAGTTATTGGCACTTAATGTTGTTAAAATATTTTCATAAAATTAAACTATTATTATTGTTGTTGTATAGTGCTGTTGTCTTGAGTACATCTCAGTGACCCAGTGAACAACAGATCTGAATGCTCTCTTATCCTGGGCCAACCTCACAATCTCTGACACACTTGATCCCATTGCTGCTGTCACCATATCAATCTATCTGGTTGGGGGGGTGGTCCCTTCCTCTTTCACTGCACTTCTTCCTTTCCAGGCATAATTTCCTTTTCTGAGGAGTAGCCTCTCCTAACGAAATGCCCAGAACAGGAGAGATGGAGCTTTGCCATCTATCTTTGCCTCCATGCAGCACGCTGGCTGCACTTTAAGACATGTCTGTTCCTTCGGCAGTCCGTGAGACGTCCAGGACTTTCCTCCATCACCACAACTCAAAGGTAACAATTCTTTTTCTGTCATCTTTGTTCATTGTCTAGCTTTCAGATAGTATAACTATTAATAAAACTAGTAGATATGCCAAATTTTAAAATGTCTAACACTGCTACAAGACAAACAGAAATATCCAAGAATACATTGAAAAATAAAATCACGGAAGGACAACCAGTACATCCAGTTAGTGAGGTGTCTCCACAACTGAACTCCACTGTAGAGCTAGAGAGTGAGAGCCAGGCCACGTGGGTGGGTTAGAAATCCAGAAACACACCAGGTAGACCTACAACTGAGTCTATGATAGAAGTGACAACTCAAACTGGCTGGAAAAAACTGATTATTCACTAAATGCTGTTGAGACAGCTGGATAGTTAACTGAGTAAAAAGAAATCTAATGTATACCTCATCTTACATCAAGCTAAATTCTAAATGAATAAAATAAAACCATGGGAGGAGAATTCAAGAATAAATATCAGAAGCTCTTCCTCCCTTTTCTACCTGAGTTTTTCCTCCCTTCTGCTAGAAGCCACAAGGAAATATTGATATGTTAAACTGCACTGAAAACCCAAACTAAACTTTGGGGTGGGGTGTAAAAAAAAGCAAAAAAAAAAAAAAAAAAAAAGCAAAATACTCAAATGTGAAACGTATTTGCAATTCATATATTCAAAAGACCATTCTCTTTAATATTTAAAATACTTTTACAAATTGATAGGAATAAAGGGCAGAAAATGAGCGAGGGTATGAATAGGCACAAATAAGGGATCACAAATGGTTTTCAAACATGTGAAACATGCTCAAGATCACTTCTAGGAGGGCACAAACTAAAAATGTAACCATGATTTTTTTTTAATCTCTCTGATAAGTAAACACTTAAATGTTTGTTAATGTATTTGTTGAGGAGACTGAGAAAATGTTTCTGGTGGGATTTGCTCTAAGAAGAACACTTTATACAAATCACAAATTGTAATTACAAATGATTCTACATTTCTATTTTATCCTATTAACTCGGACGCTGATTTGAGTTTCAACATGCACTGTAACCTTGGTTAGGGAAGTCTGGTGGTATAATCCACAGAGTGTTATGTGCTAACCCAAAGGCAGTGAGTGCCTCTCTAGAGGTTCGAATCCACCAGCTGCTCAGCGGAGGAAAGATGGGCAGTCTCCTCCTGTATGATTTACTGCCTCGGGAAACTGACTGGAGGGGTCAGCCATGAGTTGGTTTCAACTTGATGACAAGGAGTTTATAACCTTGACTCGGAGTTTTGGGATGGTGCAAAAAGTTGGAGGTTTGATATCACACCAAGGCTTCTTGGAAGAAAAACTTGTTGATTACTTCTAAAATATCAGTCACCGTAAAGCACAGTTCCTGTCTGACACACAGGGGGTTGCCGTATAATCAGAGGCCACTCCATATATTATATTGGTTTTAAGCATAAAAGTGGCTATTAGTTAAGGGATGAAGAGAAAGAACAAAAGGAAATACACTGTTGACATGTAATAAAGTCTTGTTACTTCAGAAGAAAAGCTGATGAAGAATGAAAAAGAAAAGCCCTTGCCCTTTTATAAAAAGTATATATATATAAAAGAGCCCATTGAGATTCTTAAGTAAAAGGGCAAACAGCCAACACAATGTAAATAGGTCTCGCGTGCAGAACTGTGTTACAGCAAAGTGCATTCCTGCATGTGGAATGATGATGGTCCAAGTCACTAAAAATAGGGAAACTAAGTTTAATGCATTTTAGTAAAGAGAGTGAGTTATGTAATAAGTTTCAAAGAATTGTGTGATACAAAGAAAGAATTATATAACACATTTCAAAAGGACCACTATAGTATGTGGTTATTTGAAGTAAATGTGCAGTTTTCTAGAAAATTCCACATTTTCTGAGGTTCTTAAAAATGATATGCTGGCTACATAACCACCCTAAAGTGGCCCCCAAGCCTTGTTACCATATCTCATAATTCTGGATAGAATCTCAGATAACCTGAGCCCAAAATCAACCTGAGGTAAGAAACATTAAAGAACATTCTAGAAGGTACGCGTGTGTTGGAGGAGGAAAGCACTGTGAGAACAGGCGATGTAGCTGGCACTGGTGGGACTACTCACCATATATCTACTTTTTCTGACACTGGCTCATTCCTTATCACCTCTGGCGCCATCCATGCCACAGTGCCAGCAAAGGACATCTTGGTACTTTTATCACTGAGCTCCTTGGATGTGCCAAAATCGGATATTTTCACTGCATCTGTGTGAGTCACTAGAACGCTTTAAGAAGAGACCAGGGAGAAAACACTGAGATCATTAGTACTAATGAAAACTATGATTCTTAAGAGGCAGCTGAAGCTTGCTCGCCGCCTCCTCTCCTGAGCAACTCTGCTTGCAGTTTCCAGAGCTACCTGGGCATCTGCTGTTGTGCATGTCACCCAGCATCGGCCACCCTCGTCAGGAAGCGGAGCACAGGACGTTTCTACACCTGGATTTATCCCACCTTTGCTGCTTGCTAACAGTGTGACCTTTGCCAAATTAACTCATTTAAGCCAGTTTTCTCATCTGTAGGATGGCTGTAACACAGCATCTTTTCCATAATTTAAAAATGCAAGAAACCTCTGAAAAGTAAATAATTTTCCATTTGTACAAGGCAAACTCACTTAATCCAACTTTGAGGAAATAGCGTAGCTCTGCTATGCATATATTAAAGTTGGAGAAAGGATGAAAGTTATATAAGTGTCCAGGTCTTTTGTCCACAGGGTTGCTATGAGTCACCTCCAACTCGACGGCACTTAACACAACAACAATTACAAGGTGCTAGGTAATACACCTCTCTGTTGTTATATTCCCCTTCTGAAATCCTCTGGCTCTAAGAGCTTTAGATCAGGGATTACACACCTGTGATAATCACCTCAAAGAATTTTAGTATAAATAAAACAAAAAGAGATTCCTAAGGTACTGGTCTGTGTTCAGTAAATACGGATCTCTATCTCCTTGCTAGCCTTAGCATACTGTGCCCCTTTCCACCCTCCCCATTCTGTATCAAGCCACTAAGAAAACCACTTCTCTTAAAATACTGCTTAATGATGAGTATTAAGCAGTTAGAATGTCTTAAAATACTCTAAAATCATGATGAGACCATGGCTTAGGGATTCATTACCTTAAAAAGCAAGCACCCTGGGATTCAGCTATCATCGACAAGATTAGCAGGAATAAATCTATCTTAAGTGGGTTCCACACAAGTAATGTTTTACCTTCCGCAGCAGTTAACTGAAATGTGATCTGTGACAACCCATTTTACTAACTTAGAAGAGGAATATAACCTGGTGCCCGTCGAATCCAAAGTATAAACATTAGACACGTGATTGAATTAGCACAAAATAACTTCTTCACAACGTTAGAATGTTTAATGTTCCAGAGACTGAATGATCAAGGGACCTACTTTTACTCATAAAGAAACTTCCTTTTAAAACAGTATCAGAATTGACGGGGCTAGAAAACAGGATGAGTGCAGGACTGGGCAGTGTTTCATTGTGTAGGACAAAGGGACACTATGAGATAAAACTGATTTGATGACACCTAATGTCATCAGCCCTGGTGGCCTAGTGGCAAGCAGCTGCACTGTAATGCCAAGGCACACAGTTCAAGGCCACCAGGAGAAGGATGGACAATTTCCTCCTGTGTAATTATTGCCTCTGAAAACTGGCTGGAGGGTCAGCTCTGACTCGATGGTACATGATGGTGAAATACAGGAAGACCCTCAACCAGATAGACTGACACAGTGACTGCTGCAATGGGCTCTACTGGGTCAGGAAGTGTGAGGATGGCACAGGGTTTAGACCTGTTGCTCACAGGGTCACTATGCATTGCTCTTGACTTGACTGCACCTAACGGCAGTCAACAACAACAACAGACAAATTCTGAATCTATTTTCTCTCTCCTCTGTTTCCTCCTCATTATCAAATGGCTCTCAATGTATGTTCACAATCAGGCATATAGTCTTACCCCGATAAGTGAAATTCACACAATTTAGTGGTAGTATTCCTGAAAGTTAATAAATAGGATATCAGAAATAATTGAAAATTTGATGGTATCAAATAGTAAGATACCAGATTAAAACAGGCTCAGAAGCAGGAGTTATACAAGTGTTCAGGTTTTTCATTCTTAGGGTCACTATGAGTCGTCTATGACAGTTAACAACAACAACAACAATAAATAGCAAGAAGTGGGGCGGGGGGAAGGATAGGACTCTAGAAAAAGAGAATTACAAATTTTCTCTTCTTTTGTGCTGCCCATTTGAGACACTTTGCACTAATGAGAGAATGATCTGAGAAAAGAATAGACAATTTAGGATGTTGGAAATAATCTTTGAGACAAACTCTGAGTTACACAGCCTGAAGATTTAGCACAGGTAATAAAGTTTCTTTATGACAAGCCAGACTCATCTTTGTCTTTTCAGTTATTCCAACCCAAAGAAGCCAAGGCTGTTGGGAGGTAGGACTGTTCCCTGAAAACAGAGGGTAAGGCTCAGGGGGTAGCCAACTTAGACCTCTACACTCTAAATGAAAGGAGATAAAGAAAATGACATGTAATTTTATATACCCCAAGATTTCTTGACTCCTTCCTTCTAAAATGACTTTTCAAGGAAACCAAGTTCATTAACAAAGGAGGTCATTCAGGGAAGCCTTTGCACGTATTTCGGGGTGTTTATATGCACTTTGTGGATGACAGGAGTAACAGGCTGTTTTTAAGAAGGTGAATAGGAGAAATTAACTTTACATTATAAAGTTTATTTGTAAGCAAAGCAGAGAAGAGATTGTCCAGTAACAAACCACTGGGATGAACATTATTGAGAACTATGGTTATTTACAGGAGTTTCTCTGCAGCTTATAATTAACAATTGGCTTCTATTTTTCATGGTACAGAGTCATCCTTACCTTTCCAGAATTAGGCAAGGTGCAGTGGTCTTTGGTCCAAAGGTTCTGGGTTCAAATCTTAGACCCAAGACTTTGGCTCTGAGCCTTAGTTTCTCTTGGATGCATTTGTTTTTGTCAGGCTCAATGCCAACGTGATAATGGATATTAAAAATAATACCATAGACCATGAAAAGATTAGCCAAATATGGCCTTGAAAAGAGATTATTCCTTATCTAAACTAAATGTGATGGCAAATTAAAAAAAAAAACTTTAAAAATAGGGGCTATACTAAAATAAATTTTTTAAAAATTAATTTTTTTCTTTTGTTCAATTTGGTTACAGAATACTCAAAGTGGCAACTGGCAGGCAAAGAATTATTTTGAAAACAGATTGCTAAAACCAGCCCTACTTCTCTTAACTGACTGGCTTGTAATCTTCCTGTGGACACTGTGAACCTTGTAACTACTCCTTCCCTCCCCTGCTTAAACTCGAGGATGCTCAAAGCCAAAGTGATTCACACGCACGCACGCTCTAACAATTGTGCAGAATTTTATGGAATAATTTTGCGAGCCTGATGCAGTTCCAATATCTTATTTTGATTTTGCCTCTGTTTCACTCTTCCATTTTCCTAGTATTATATTGTATACAAATTTTCAAACTCTGTCCTGTTTAGAAAAACTGAATCTTTATTTTATGAAGATAGGATAATGGCAAATCTAAGTGGAGGGGTCTGGCACAAATTATCCAGGATGATGGAAGGTGAATACATAGGAAATACTGAATTTTGTTTGGCAATTGTAGGGTTTAAAACAACAAAGGCAAAACTAATGTCAAGTACCTGCATATATATGTGCCATATGGGGAAGGTCAAAATACAGAAAGACACAAAGATAGAATTACCCACTATGCCAACTGAAACAAAACTATAATAGGATGATGGAAAACTTCACCTATATTTGATAAAATGTATCATTAAAAAAATAATAATAATAGTGATGATGATGATGATTATGTAATAATAATAATAACTGAAGGGTTAGCCCAGGACTTACTTAGGTGATTTGAGATCACGATGGATAATTTTATGGAGGTGCAAATAATTCATTCCACTTGCAATTCCTGTGGACCAGTCTACTAGAAGTCGAGGTGTGATCTTCCGGCCGGCACGCAAAACCTCGTAGAGCTGTCCATGGGCACAGTACTCCATGATGATACAGTAACAGGGGGCCTGTGTGCAAACACCTCTGCCAAGGAAACACCAACACATAAACAGACCCATTCATACAGATGGACTAATATATATGGTTATATTTTAAACTAATAAAAATGGTTCTCCTATCCCAATTATCTCTAAAATCTATAGAGGTAATAGTTTCTAATTATTCAATGAGCATCAAAATGTCTTTAATTCTGTTATGGATATGAAAGACTTCACATGCTCATTTCACATGCTTCTGCTGTGCTCTAGTGGTAAGAAACTGTGTTGCAATCCCAAAGGCACACAGTTCAAATCCACCAGCTTCTCTGCTATCTTCCCACTTACTGCCTTTGCAAACACACTGGAGGGTCAGCTATGGGTTGGTTCCAACTCAATGGTAACAACAACATGCTATACTCTGTCTGTTGATTTTTTGGTGAGACCATTCCACTCAGAGGTAAAGAGAACCATTTCCTGAGGGTTGTTAAGGCTGGGTATTGTGTTGTTTTAAAGCCTTAAGAATAATTTAAGATACCTTCCTTTAAAATCTGAATAGAGGTCTTTTATAGGATTTCTAGAAAAAAAGGAAAAGAAAAATATAGCTGTTTTTATTATTATTGTTGGAATTTTAAATTACTTTTACTTAAAATAATTAGATTAAGTCTGTCAGTTTGCTGTACTGAGGTAACTTGGGGTTGCTGTGATACTGAACATTGTGCCACTGGTGTGTCAGATGCAATAATGGTTATTCAGGGTTTGGTGGAGCTCTCAGATCAAGACAGGCTTGGGAACAGGAGTGGCATCTACTTCCTAAACAACATGCCTTTGGAAACTCTATGAACATTGAGAAATTATGATAGTTATAGAACAGGGTTCAGATCTTTTGTTCTATGAGCCGTGCTTGATTTGAAGGCATTTAACAACAACAACAAGAAGAAGGATCAGAAAATAATTCATTTTCTATATACTCACTTACCACAGTGAGATGCCAAAGGCCAGCTTGTACAAAAACAGACATTTTGCAAAAATGGAGGAGAACCACACCAGGTAACACAACAGAATTATCTACTGGCCACATTACACCAGTGCCAGACCACTGAGAATCATGGTCCACCCACCGCTGTCCTCGTCAACTCTGACTCACGGCCACCTTCCTTCAGGATCCAAGGCTTGAAATCTTCATGGGCAGAGAATCCCTCATCTCCCTCCTCAGACTCGCTTGTATTTGAACTGCTGACCTAACACAGAGCATCCTATGCCACCAGAGATCCTTATGGTCCAGTCAAGTTGACAAAAATTTTACCCATCATGGTCGGTACTACTCTCACGTTGTACCTCTGAGTCTGTTACTGCCAACTGTATATTGTTAGTGTGCAAAACAGTCAAAGACAGTAGCTTTCTTACTGTTGTCATAAATGTAAAATGTTAGGTAACAAGATAGTTGAGAAGTGAGGAGTAAACCCACTGCCACTGAGCTGGTTATCACTCACAGTGACTCTGCAGAACAGAGAGCAGAGCAGAAGTGCCCCACGGAGTTTCCTAGGCTGCAAATCTTTACAGAAGCAGAATGCTGTGTAGCTTTCCCATGGAGCAGCTGGTGGGTTCAAATCACCAACCTTTTGGTTAGGAGCCAAATCCCTTAAATCTCCTTAAGGGAGGCAGGGCTGTATTACACTGTCTCTGGGAAACATTTATATTTAAAATAAAAAACCCCAAACCATTACACAATGTGTCATATGCCTATATAGACTAGCCTATATTTCCATCAATTTCCACATCTTTCGTGAAGCCTTTTCTGACTTAAAAAAAAAAATCACCTTTAAATTCCCATGACACACAGGATCCATTAAATTTATTGTGTGCATTTCCCCCGTCTCCTTACAGAAATTATAAAGGCTGCTCTAGAGGCCTAGTGGTAGGAAACTGTGCTGCAATTTCAAAGGCCTGCAGTTTGAATCCACCAGCTGCTCTCAGGGAGAAAGATGGGCCATCTCTTCCTGTGCAATTTACTGCCTCTGAGAATCCACTGGAGTGACAGCTATGAGTCGGTTATGACTTGACTGCACACAACAATAACAACAACCACCACCACAGCATATAAATGATATGCTTTTGAAGGGAGAAGTCTTCAAGTTCTTTGCTCTCCACCACAAGGCCTAGGGGTTCACAGGAAGTACTTGACACGTAATTTTTTAACTTCACCTTAACTTACTTTGCTGCAAAAAAGCCTCCGTACAAATATGTACAAACTTAAGTGGTAGGAAGAAGACCACTGACACAAAAGACAGTACGTTCTACTTGTCAGGTATGCTTATTGCCATCTTTCATTTGTTCCCAAATGTTGTAAGATATATACTACCATCTTCATTTTTACGGATAAACTCAAAGAATTAAAGGACTTATTCTAGGTCAGACAGCTAATACACAGTAGAGGTGAGATCCAAACTCAATTTGTGTAACTTCAACAGCCTTCTTATCCACTAGTCGACCCTGTCTCCCTTTTAACTTGTTTCTAGGCAAGCAAGCACACTGAGGATTCCGGTGGAAATACTGTGACTTTGTAAAAGTGTAAGTAATGATATTGATTCTTCTTCACAGTTCTTTTCTGAGGGTGACAGCAGAGAAGAAACAGTGCCACCTGTCATTTTCTGCATCCCATCTCTTTAGGGTATGTATGTCTTTCTTTGAAACTTTCCAGAGAAGTTAGTAAAGTAACTTCTGTAAGATGCTAGTTAAAGTCCTTGATCAGGTACCAGTCTATGTCCTATCTCATCGGTTACTGTAAGTGATGGAACAGTCTAGAGGCCATGACTTGAGGTGTGGATCATGTAAAGAGTTTTGAGCAATAGCAGGTTACGAAGAAATATAATTAGTCTTCATGTTTTCTGCCTGTCAAGTGTCACAAAGCTAGTTCTATGATTTTCCTATCATTTTCCAAGTAGAATTCTCATCATGATTTTTAATGATAAACCATTTATTCCCCCCAAGCTTCTGTTATTTGATTTTTAGGAAAGCTCAGTGGAGCACAGCAAGTACAAATAGTAATTTAAGCTGAATTACAGGGAAGCAGCGAGGAAGGTAGTGTGTTCTTAAGGAGGGGCCCTGGCTTTCCAGTGGTCAAGTGCTCTGCTGTTAACCCAAAAGGGGGCAGTTCAAACCCACGTCCATTCCACGCAAGACAGACAGGGCTGTCAGCGTCTGTAATGGTTCCAGTCCTGGAAACCTGCACTGCAGCTGTGTACTTCAGAGTTACCATGAGCTGGAATCAACACATCGGGTTACATTTTTAAGAATAGAAAAATATTTGTTTGAAGGTACACAGTAGCCTACTCAACCATGAATTTACAAATTCCACAGATACAGAAAAGGCCTAACAGTGGTATGTTAATGCACTTTTCATCTCTCTTGACTGACGAAAGAGAAGCAATCATTCCATCAGCCCAGGACGATGACAAGGCTTCTTCAGCGGCTATAAATAACAGCTCTATAATGACTTCTAATTGCTACCTTTTCTTCCCCTTGACACTGAATTCCATTAGGAACAGTCACTTTTGCTTTTCTTCAAAGATTATTTGGGGGGGGGGAAGAAAAGAAAACCTGGAAGACAAAAAGAATATAGTATTCTTATCTTGAATGTCCCTTTCTGAACACGGTTCTAACTTTAAAAGAAGTTGTAGGCCCGGAAACCAGAGTTGAGAGGGAAGTAGTAAAATCCAATCACGCCCTTCTAACTTCCAGACGGTGCTCAATGTGTTCACTGGCCAAGGAGCACACGGCACAGACGGCTGCATACATAACACTAAACACTATTCAAGGAATAGGAAATCTTCATTCTAAGAAACTGGAGCCAGTAGGGCAATATGTAGGGTAGCTTTGTGGCCTGGTGGCAAGAAGCTGCGCTGCAATTCCAAAGGCCCGCGGTTCGAGGCCACCAGTTGCCTCTGAAAACCTGCCAGAGGGTCAGTTATGAGTCGGTTCCAACTAGATGGTACACAACAATGACAGCAAGGTAATACTTGTCTAAAATTATGAAAATGGTCTATGTAAGTAGGAGGATCAGAAAGGTGACATGGGAAAATGAAAAAGCCAAAGAAAAGGAAAAAAAAAGCACTTCACAGCCTTTCTTCTTGGGATACATTTCCTATCTTCATTACTCAGAATATCCTGCTGGAAAGTCTATACAACCTGACAGCCTGCTAATCTACAGGGGATTCTGTGTCTCAAACCCAATGATCTGGTCGTCTGAATTTAAAAGCCCTTAGCCTTTCCTTCCAATGGGGAGGGTATGAGAGCAAATGGAAAGTGATAATACAGTAAAGTGAAGGAAGGCAGTGGGTCTCTATTCTGTCTGCTTAAAAATAATCTTCATATTTGTCTTCAGTGGGAGACCACTGGTGGTACAGTAGCTTAAAATTTAGTTACTTTATTATTTTATTTGTGTGTGTGTACCATCAAATTGGATCTGACTGGTATAGGATAATTTAGCTACTTTAGTGGGTGGAGGGAAGGGGAAAAGGAAATGGGAAAGATCCAGTGGGGACTTGAAAAGACAAGGCAATCATCTGCATAGTTTACTGGTGATTAATTTTATAAAAAAAAAGTGTATGGGAATGATCATATAAAACATAATGTGAATGAAAGGAAGTATGAAACACAGTGTATATGAATTTTGTAAAAATTTTTTTGAAAACCCAACAAATTCACATTGTGTTTTATATAATTATTCTCATGCATTGTTCTATAAAATTAATCACCACACTGCACCTTGCCCATCATGACCCTGTCTTTTCACCCAGATCTTTCAGATTTCCTTTCCCCCACTCCCTCTACTCACCAAATTGGGCAACACTATGGTTTTACCCCTTCCCATATCAGCCCCTCCCCTTGAAATTCCATATGTTTAACTAGTTATCCTACCATTTTTATAATAATGGTCTCATGCAGTATTTGTCCTCAGGAGACTGAGTTAGTTCACTCCAGCTTCTCCTAGTTACATATTTTTTAAAATCACTGCTCCTGAGTGAAATCAGTAAAATTCCCCCAAAGCCCAATATTAAAGGGGAAAAAAGCCAAGTACTAGAGCTGTTCTCAACTCTAAAATAAACCCCAAAATCCAACAACAATAAAAAATTTAGCTACTTATGAAAAGGTTGCTGGTTCTAATCTACCCAATAGAAAGGCCGAACAACCTGCTTCTGAAAGATCTCAGTCATTGTGAAATGTATGGGATGCAAGCAGTGGGAATGCCAGGAATCCCCTCTTTGAAATGCACAGGGTTGCCAAGAATCCTAATAAATCTGATGGGGCTGGGGGATGGTAGTGGTGGTGGTGGTTATTGTGGTGGTTTCATCTTTTGAAATTTATCCTCTTTTGAAAAATTATAATTGGTTTCAATACCATTTTATTCCATATCCTTCTGGCCCTACTAGGACAACCTAGAATGATCGCTATGGTAACGGAGGTTCTCACCATGTCATCTACAGAGATGAGCTTTCCACAGGAAGTTAACCCAAGCACTCTGGATAGATTGTTTGCATAACAGTTGAAGACTTCTTTTGTTTTTCACAGGTATCTTGTGAAAAACTCAACCTCAATACTCATTTAAATCCATTCAACAAAATTCATACCCAAGATTTCTATTCCTTTCTTTAGGGCTATGATTCCAATTAAGAATTAACACATGAATTTAAAAGGAGAGTTTGTTCAATTTACGCATTTTTAAATTATGAAAAAGCCTTCTCAGGGCTGAGAGTTCTTCCTAGTTTTAAGAAAGAGGGATTTTTAAAAAAAGTTATTTTACTTTTTCTACAGCTTCATTGGCTATATTATTTTGCAGCAATGAAAAAAATATCTAATAATAGGTCAACAAACCCTAATTTCTAAACTTTAATCCCACCTAAAACCTATCTTTCTTGTTCACTTTACTGTATATAACCCTCTTCTAAAGTCAGGAAATCAAATGAATTGCATTAGGAAAGTTGGCTGTCAGGGACCTCTCCAGAGTGCTGAAGAATAAGGATGTCAGCCTAGAGACTAAGGTCCAGGCCATGCCATGGTCTTTGCAATCACTTGCTATGCGTCAGAAACTGGACAGTGACTAGGGATGATGGAGAATTGATGCCTCTGAGCTGTGGTGCTGGAGAAGAGTGTTGAATATACTATGGACTGCTTGGAGAACAAACAAGCTCATCCTGGAGAGGGTGAAACCAGGCTGCTTCTTGGAGGCAAGAATTCTGAAACTGTCTGACATACTTTGGACATGTTGGGGACCAGTCCTTGGAGAGGGACATCATGCTTGGAAAGGTTGAGGGACAGCACAGGAGAGAAAGACCCCAGATGAGATGGAATGACACAAGAACGGGGGTAATGAGGGCAAGTGTGTCAGAGACACTGAGATCTGCTCAGGATAGAGCAGGGTTCAGAGCTACTGTGCAAAGGGTCACTATGAGTCGTAGTTGATTCAACACCACATAACAATAACAACAGCAACAACTAAGTCATTAACTTAAGCCTGGTCAAAAATTTAAAGATTGGTGAGGGAGGGAACCTGAGGAAAGATATAGGGATTACACATAATTAGAGCTCTGCATTTCTAAGTTTGTAACTTCCACAAATATATCTATGACTTTCTCCCTTCTGCTCAGGAACTCAGCCAATACCATGAAATAACATCTTATACTAGAGAAGTATACTTAAATATTCTTGGGGGGAAAAATCACTTTGCAAAATGAATGTAACACATAACTTTGCATTTGGCATTCTTTGAAAAAAGATTTAGCAAAATTTGAGACATGGAGAAACATTCTGAAGGTACTTTTCATTACAAGTCATTCTTTAAGAAACACTACCAGACACTAACAAAAAAACAAAAACAACAACAACAAAAAACCTCTACTAGGGAGCTCTGGTGGCCTAGTGGTAAGAAGCTGTGCTGCAACCCTCAAGGCATATGATTTGCCACCCCACCAGCTGCTCTGCGGTGAAAGATGGGCAGCCTTCTCCCCTGTGATTAACTGCCTCTGAAATACTGGTGAAGGGTCAGCTGTGGGTCTGTTCTGACTGCACAACATGCAACAACAACAACAATTACTACAACTACACAGAAACCAGGTGTTCTCTGGTCACTTCAGATATATATCTTCAGCTGGATTATTGTGGGATGCTGAGATGTTTATACTTAGATGTTATTTGGATGGGATCTCCATTTATCCCACTGACAAATGAGCTTGATTTAGCTCATTGGACTGCTTTGAGGGAATCTGCTTCCTCCTTTCTGCTCCATGAGCACCCCCTTCTAGCTCTGGCAAAAAGAACAACTAGATTATAAAATCCTTAAAGAAAAGACATGACTACAATGTATGATGTCTTTGATCCCTCCCAAAGCACCCAGCCCAGAGCTACGTCTGGAGAGCATTCTTAACATGTTGGAAAACATGCCACTGGATCGCTCTGTTTCTGAGGGAATAAGACCAAAAAGCCTTGACCTACTTGAAGGCGATGATGTTAGGGTGCTTTAGCTTCCTCAAATGCTTGATGTCCGTCTCATTCTGTTCTCTCACTTTCTTGATGGCCACTTCCTCTGCTCGGAACTTGCCCAAGAAGACAGCGCCCTGGGCTCCACTCCCCAGCCACTGCAGCTCGGAGATCTCCTCGAATGGCACTTCCCAGGTATCTAGGCACACAGAAACAAGCTGGGAGATAGCTTGGCATTTGCCCAGGTCCCTTCTACAAGGCACTGCAAAGGTACCAACGTCACCACCTCCCACAGCGAGTGCTACACCACCTGGTAGCCCACTTGGAAGTTAAGACCTTCCCATGGACCAGTCACAGTATTTTATCAGTATTCATTTCTGTTTTCATACATTGAAATCCCAGCAAATCCGAGATCTTCCACATTTGCTCCTCCAAACAGAACACATGCCTTCAGCTGGTAATCCATTCATCTTTTCTGCTCTTTTTTTACCACTATCCCATATCCCAACACCCAACATGGCTTTTGTTTCTTTCTCTTTGCATTTATTGTGTAGATGCTCAAGGAATCTTTACTGAAAGAGTCTTCAGTGTAAGTCTTGTTATACGTAAGACTTATTAGTATTTACTGCTAGTATTGCACAGAGCATTTACGTAGTGGCATAATGTTTGGCACACACCGTGTGTTTAACTCTTTTTTTAAATTTTATTATTTTTTGTGTGTACCATCAAATCAGATCTGACTGGTACAGGAGGAGATTGCCCCTCCTTCTCTAACAGAGCATCTGGTGGATTCGAGCAGCGTATCTCTGGGATTGCAGTGCAGCTTCTTGCCACTAGGCCACCAGAGCTGCCTAACATGCTTAATTCTTACAATAAGCTTATAAGATCTAGCCTTAATGTTAGGTAAAGAGAAAAAAAGAATGCAGGCCTAGGGTGGTTAGTAACACATCCAAGGTTATCTAGCTGGTAGTACCAGAACCCCAGACGTGGCTAACTCAAGGGCAGTGTTTCTCCTTTTCCCTACACTGACCCTTATGATGTAACTGGAAGGGCCTTTAGTGTTCACACATATTACATTATCTGTTCACCCAGATAGCTGCAGTCTTTCCAAGTTAAAACGCTGTTGCTCTTTTTCTTGGAGAGTTTGATGTTGTCACACCAAAAAGTTAACAGGGGTAATTTCCAAATGGTGATTCATATTATGTTCTTTATTCTGTGCTGCACAGCATTTCCTCAACCACAAATCTATAATACTTTTAAAATGAAAAATGCATTTTAAAGAAAGCACTTCAAAATTTCAATTAATATGTGCTTTAATCTCATAAAACCTAAAAAGAACAATGTAATCCGTTGAGCCTTCTTACCAGTGAATTATCACATGTAGAAATGCACATCAAAGAGCTAGAAGCCTCATGGAGTGAGGAGATGGGTGAGGACAACATGAAAGGCTGTGAGAGATTCTCGTTAGACCCCTGATCCCTGACAAGGCTGCTGTTTGCAGAACCCAGAACAGGGTGGATTGAGTTAGCACTGAAAGTACTCTGATCTCAAAAGCAAATCACCTCTGTATCCACCACAGCCACAAAATAGTCTATAACAAAGCTGCCTTTCTCTTTCTCTTATTTTCTGTCCCTTAAAAGAAATTTTATACAATCTTGATAGAATGTAGGTTCTCATTAAAACTGTTAAAACATGAGTCTTCAAAGCATAACCATGTAGAAGAGGGGGAAAAGTTATAGTGAAGGTGACATTAGAGAGAGAGAGTGTGGACATTTGTCCCATTTCCCCGACATGAGCAGTATTAAAGGTTTCTGCTTTAGTGAAACTGAATGAATGCTATTTTAAAGCAAGCCTCGCTAAAATCCAAACACTAAATCACCAGAGGAACAACTGAGATGAGTGAGATTTGGGAGAAAACCAAGTCAAAAGCAAGACTCTTTTCAATATCTTTAGGGCTTCTGTGACTGACAGGTATTAGTGGTTCATACAATTTCACTTTCATCCCCACAGACTTACTCAGTGAAAGAGAGGAAGCCCCTCGCCAAAATGGACTGGCACAGTGACTACATCAACGGCTAGAACATAGTGTTTCATTCTGCTGTACATGGGTCAGTATGAGTCAGAATGGATTTGATGACACATTTATTCATGCAGTGGACACAGTACCCACAAACCAATGGTTCACAACAAAATGTCACTCATTTGTCTCTAGTGAGAAACTGAAGTCACTCAAGATGACTAACGTTTTTGGAGGCTGAAAAAAAAACTACTGGAGTCTGGGGCAGAACATAACTGGGTAATATTTCTTTAAATAACTTTAGAAAAACTCAATTTATCATCATTTTAATATGTAAACACAAAAACGCTCATATTTCCAATATTTAGTTAAATATTATATACATTCAAATAATTAGAAATATTAGACACATTCTATTTGTAATCTCACCCTATACTCACTTTTGATCAAATGTTTACAGTTATGTAAAAATTGTAGGTGATGTACAATTTTTCTACTCTTTTTCCTATATTAGGTATTCTTCATGTAAGATTGGCAAAATTTCACTGCAAAATTTAATGGCTACACTACTACTGTCCAATCGGTTTTCTTTCACAGTTTAAAGTATTTCTTTTTGTTTTGAGAATTTAAATTTGACACTTTTTTGCTTTCTATAGTTTATTTCTTCAGGCTTAATCTCTAGCTTAAGGAGTCCAGTTGCCTGGCGCTGTGTATAGTGTCCCAAATTACTACCCAAAAGAGTTCTGCTCTACGAGCATGGCAGCTTCACCACTGTGTTGCTAGCACTGGTGTTATCAGTTAGTTCTGGTTCTAAATTAACGAGGCATAGACTGGATGACAAGGAGCTTGGCTTTTTTTTGCTCCTGTCAATATCTAGTAGGGCGTCAAGGAGCAAGAAAATGGCAGAGCAAAGAAAGCGATAAGGATGGGTAAAACTGGAGCCTTTCAATTGACAAACAAGATCACTAACCTCTTAACAACTGGGTACTAGCAGTCAGGGTCAGTCCTAGTCTCTTTGCTGCTTTTAGATCTGCCCCATTTGTTCTCGTCCCCACTTTTTATCTCTCCTCTGATTCATCGCCATGACTACTCCTTAATTCCAATGACCACCATGATCCCCAGGACTGAGAAAAAGCCACATGCCCACTGACTTTAAGGCATTTGTTTATTTAAAACGGAAAACAATTTAGCAATAAAATATTTCAGTTGCATGTACTACCTTACGTGAGCTTTGTTTCCTAAAAGGGTCATGAGGACATCATTTTTTTTTTAAAGTCTAGTGACATTTCCTCTTAAATGCCCAAAGGAGGGACACATCTGTAGAATGCATTCTCCTGTGGTTCACTGCAACCCAGGGTTAAGATTTGCTCCTACATCCCAGAGCTGAAAACAAAAATATTACACTTAGTTTGGGGCTAGTAAATCTCTTTGGTCCCCTGCAGTAACAACCCCAAAGCAGGATCTCCTGTCATCTGCTCAAGTCAGGCAGCTGCTGTAACTTTGCCAGAATCTTAAGCTGATCAGGCCTGTTTCTTATTTATTCCTGAAATAAAACCTTCTGGAAGTCACATAATCAGTTGGAAGGCAAAGAAATACAGATTTGTAAAGCAATTTAAAAAATGTAAAAGGTTCCTTTTAAGAGATACACAAGATGTATTAGTTGCATTCTTGCCTGAGTTTGATGCTCAATATTTTTTTTGAGACCTCTAGGTAATCACGCAAATAATTATGAGGCTGGAAGATTTTATTTTGTCAAGCGGAGACCTTAAAATTTATTGTCATTTATTACATACAGAGATATTAATAGGTTTGTATTTAAGCAGAGACAGGAAACTTTTAAGAAATAATAAATCAAGAGTGATTATCTCAGCATTATGAAAAAGCTATTTCATCTCGTTATTACATATTTAATATAGGGATCACCAAACTTTATGTAATAAAAGCACAGTTGTTGTTTTTTAATTTCCTTGAAATCTTAAGGCCAAGGAGAGAAAAAAGATAACAAATTACACACACATACACAAGTCTCACAAGAATTCTGCAAGGAGTAGGAATGGATGTTGTGGCGGACAAATTCTGAAAATTTATCTGGAATTGACAGATTTACCAAGAGACTCCAATATATTTATGTTGTTCTTGTTATATACTGCTGAATTGGAACCAGCTCATAAATGACCCTTCAGTGGATTTTCAGAGGCAGTTACTTGTACAAGAGAAGAGTGACGGTCTTTCTCCCATAGAGCAGCTGGTGGATTTGAACCACATATGTTTGTGTTGGCAGCACAGCTCCTTACCACTAAGCCACCAGAGTGCTCCAATATACTTATTTGGAAAGGGGATTTCAAGCATGTTCGTTTAAGAGAAAACATTCCATAAATAGGATAAATATAATTCAGGAGAAAAATTATCAGTGGTAACCAACTGATATTATAGCTGATCTCAATTGGTTGTTGAAGAAAAGCTGCCAACAGTCTGGACTAAGAAAGAGGGAGAGGCTTCTAAGGGAGGGCTGCAAAGTCTGTCATTCAGCTCTAAGATTAACAAAACAATCCTACTTCTGGTGCATAAATTTTCTTTCTAGAATTCCTTGGTGAGAGAATGAAAAATGGAATCAGTTGCAAAAGGACTAAAATGATGTATTAAGAATTTTAAAAGCATGAATGCTTTGAGCCCAACCATTCTAGGAATTTATCCTAAGGATAGTCAAAGACGTTTATAAATTTAAATGAAAAGATGTTCACTGCAGTGTGGCTTCCAGTCACCAAAAACAGCACACACATTAGTGATCAAGCAATAGGGGACATTCACAGAAACAAGCATCGTCCCACTCAAACACATTGCTATCGAGTGCGAACAGACTCGCAGCTGATCTCCCAGTGGGTTTCTGAGGCTGCTAAATGCCTGAGAGGAGAGTTCTCATCTTTGTCCTGTGGAGCCGCTGGTGAGTCTGAACTGCCAAAGAGGCCTTTCCATGAGCAGCACCGCACCGACAGACATCGTCACCACAGCTCCACAGCCAGCCACTGAAAGTGATCCTGAAGAAGCAGATTTCAGAAATGAGAAACAGTCAGACTATGAAGTGAAAAATACGGTGCAAAAGAGCACCTTTGCATTTTAAAGACGTGTACACACAATGTAAAAACAATATAGAGCAAAAGCATTAACAGTAATTATTCTCTGGAGACTGCATATTAGTGTTTCGATTTCTTTTAAACTTATTTGTATTTTCCAAATTCTCTATTATATTACGTTTGTTATAAAAAGTTCTTTTAAAGAATTGAAGTTAGGGATGTCTAGTGGCAATCTGCAAGGTACGTGGTTTAACTCCAGCAGCTGCTCCGCTGGAGGAGGGGCAATCTCCTCCTGTGCCTGTCAGACCCAATTCAATGGTATATAGCAAGAAAAAAAAATTTGAAGTTATAAAGAACACTAAGCCCATATGTTCTGTTTACTTCAAAAGCCCCACTGGAACTGGAATACATGAATAGCCATGTTACATACTGGTGGGAGCAAAGACCTTATTTTTTTAAAAAGCTGTGGGACCTAGAAATAATAACACAATAAAGCACTTTTCTAATTTAGTTGGGTAGTTTTCCCTTTTCTCTAAATATGAGCCTTTGAAGTGACTGTTGTTATTATGTGCCATCGAGGTGACTAACGGCACAGAGAGAACCAAAGAACAATGGTTCTGAAACTTGCCTATTCTGAGCCAACCCCACCATCTCCAACATGCTTGACCCCACTGCCACAGTTACTGTGCCAATCTATCATGTTGAAGGTCTTCCTGTCCTGCACTGACCTTCATATGACTGCAAGAAAATAATTCCTTTTCATTACAACCTCAGGCAGGCTGCAAACTTCAGAGGCACGGCTGTGTGGCATCTATCAGACTTTGAATGAATCCAGTTTTCCTAAGAGTTTTTATTATAGAACCTAACAGAAAAAAACATTGAACACACACCTATTCAATGATTTATTTATAAGTTACATGTCTGTATGACTATTTTAAGGGGCTCTGGTGGCCTACTGGAAAGAAATTGTACTGCAATCACGAAGGCACACAGTTCAAATCTACTAGCTGCTCCTCCAGAGGAAGATGGGTAATCTCCTCCTGTGCAATATAACTGCCTCTGAAAACTCGCCGGAGGGTCAGCTCTGAGTCAGTTCTGACTCAGTGGTACACAACAACATGATTATGTTAGTGAGGTCTGGTAACCTAGAGGTAAGGACTTGTATTGTCAACCCAAAGGGACGCTGTCCAAATCCTCCAGCTGCTCGGTGGAATGCGGGCAATCTCCTCCCATACAATTGACAGCCTCTGAAAAGCTCACTGGAGGGTCAGCTACGAGTTGGTTCTGACTTGACTGCACATAACATAACACAACTACTTTAAAATATCAAGCCTATCTGAAAATAGATACTTAAACTGGCTGAAGTCTAGATTTTTCTACCTCTATCCCTGTGGATAGTTACATATGTATTCTACTTTTGGATATCAGTGAGATGGACAATAACAAAGGATGGGTTTCTACCAAAACAAAACAACATCCCAAGAAAGATCTACCAAGTGTGACTCTGTTACTCACATATAGAGCTCCCTTGTTCACCACCGATGGGTGGTGTGTTTCCACAGCAAGTATCATCCAGGTCCTTACTCCAGCTTACCTTGCTGCTGCAGTTTGTAATCGGTGGAATATGCCTTCCCAATGATATTCCACACGGGCCGTAAGCATCCAAACAGTCCTTCCAGGAAGCCCCCACTGCCGCTGCCCGACCTGCTGAACTGGATTTTGACGTCCTCAGCGCCATTCGTGTTTTCTCCATCCACAGGGCTGCTGTTCTCCTGAGATACTGCCATCTCTGATTCATCCTGTTCCCGTAACTGAAGGACACTGTTCTCAAACTGGTCCCTGGAATCCTCGCTTACGCTGGTCAGCACTGTTGTGGTGACGGGGCTGCTGAGGGTCTCAATAAGCTCTGTGCGGACCACGCCCTTCTCCTGAAGGTCCTCCAGGAGCTTGGCTGAAGAGCGGTTCCCCATCGGGGGGAGCACATCCTGCAGCACATTGGAGGCTCTGCTTTCACTCGAGGCTAAGTGCTGCGATGAGGAGCAGCTCAGGTGCTCCTGAGGGCTGGCCATCGTGCCATGAGTGGGCCCAAGGTCCTGAGACGGCACTCAGAGGATTATCAGAACACAATTCAGATGCAAGAGAGGGTCCCAAAGCCTGAGGAGAAACAGGAGAACATGAGCGGATGCTTCATTTCGTCATCTACATTATACTGCTGTTTAAAAGAAAAGCATCAAAACAATGATTGTTATTCAACTGTGGTATACAGACACCCACATGCTAAGACACTGTATTACAATGAAAAAAAAAACATGTTGTAGAAGAGTATTTACTAACAGGACAGAATGTTTAAGGCATAGTATAAAAAAAGCAATCTAGGACAATATATACAATATAAGCCCTTAAATATTAAAAATATTCATTTAAAAGAATCCACAAGCACATACTTTAAAAGAAAAGATTGAAAAGATATATCCACAGTTATTTTAGATGGCTAGATTTTTGGTGGTTACATCTGGATTAGATCTGTCTTGGAAAAAGTGTAGCCAGAATGCTTCTTAGAAGTGAAGAGGGGTGAGGATGGACAGGGGTGTAATCACAGGGTCGCACAATCTGAAGGGTAGAGAGAAGGGTGGGTGAAGGAAGTGGGAATGATTCGGTGTGAAAAACAATGTAGATGCACTTTGTAAGCAAACCAGTATACAAGTTTTATCAATTTTTTTTAAGCAAAAACAAAAAGAAGTGAAGATGGTAAGATTTCATCAAACACACCTTAGGCAAGTTACCATAAGAGGCGAGTCTTAGGAGGAGGGTATCATTGTTGGTGCAGTAGAGGATCAAAGAGTAAGAACCTCACTGAGTTGGCTTCAGCAATGAGCTCAAACATGGCAGTGGCTATAAGGGTGGGATGGGCCAGCACAATGGTTTGTTCTGTTGTGTGTCGAGCCAGAACCACTTTGCAGCTCTGACAACAACATTCAGGAAAGGTTCTTAGTGCTGGAAGTCTTAGGGGGCAGTTCTACTCCATCTAACTGGATCACTATAAGTCAAAGTCAACTCAATGACCAGAAGTGTTATTTTTGTACTTCCCAAGGTAATTAATTCTATGCAGCCCACATAATCTGCATTTTTCATAGTTAGAAAAATTTTCCCTCCCCACAGGAAAATGAAATTGTTTTGATATACAGACTTCAAAAATTGCATCCTATATTGTTATAGGTTGCAAAGTCTCTTCACTTTAGTGTTACATCCACTGGGGTATTACTTAGTTTTCTAAGTTAGTCATTAGATGATGTGGGTACATGTCTTGTGTATATGGCAATGCAACCTCCTGAGATACAAAATTTGTATTACCAAATAAATGGCCACACAACTAAGCTCACCCTCTTTAGGTTTGCTTTCTGCTTCCGGTTTCTCAGGACCATCTATCCTTTAAAAAATAAGAACATGAAGTTGTTCTAGATTGGATCTACCAAGCAGAAAAAAAAATCTAAAGTTATCTCTCTTAACAAATTTGCTGTCTTGGCAAATCTTGCTTTAGTAATTTTTTTTCCTTCCCTCTGTATTGAGCGTTGAGAATGCCAGGGCGTTCTGGTGGCACAGTCCATAGGGTGTGGTGCTGTTATCCCAAAGGCAGTACCACTCTGGTGGTTCAGATCCACACAGTGGCTCCACAGGAGAGAGATGATGAGCCATCTCCCATGTGACTTGTAACTTCCCAAAAACCCACTGGAGGGTCAGCTGTGTCCATTCTGACTTAATGGCAATGAGTTTGAGTTTTGGGTTTTAGAATGCTCCAGTTCAGGATACAAAGATGACTTCACTTTACAGAAGGGGCAAAAGACACCCCAATAGAGATCTAAAGTACAGTGTATACAATAAACCAGGCAGACGCTCTTGGCACAGAGACGGAAGGGTACTTCAGGGGCAGCTGCCATAACACAGAGACTTCCAATCATCTGAAGGACATACAAGAGCCCATCAGGAATAGAAAAGAGTGAAAGAAAAGGCAGAGCGTCTAATAGAGGCAGGAGAAGCATAAACAAGGGCATAGAGGGATGAAAGAGGACAGAAGCGTGGAGAACCTAATATGAAACTGAGAGTCTGCCATGACTACAATGTCTTGTATGTGTGCTTTAATCTCTCCAGGACAAAAGAAAACAAAACTATCCAATTTGTAGATTATTGTCCAATTTCCCTGGTGGAAATACTCCTCTTATGGCCAAGTTTCAAGCTAATAACAAGTTAGCAACCTGTTTGCAAAGTTTCTAAATATTTAACAATTCCCTCTGGCGAACATCAACTTTAGTATATCATTATCTCAGTTAGTGCTTTCCATTATCTATTTCCATTGCCCCCAGTTTACCAAGAATTACACAAAGAATTCAAATTAAGGTCATTTATTGAGTAATTAATGGGCCCGGGTGTTGCAGTGGTTAAGTTCTCAGTTGTCTACCAAAAAGTTGGCTGTTCAAATCCACCAGCTATTCCATGAGAAAAAGATCCCCAGTCTCCTTCAGTAAAGATTTACAGCCTTTGAAACTGTATGGGGCAATTCAACTGCGTTCCCAAGGCTTACACTGAATTGGAATCAACATTTTTTTGTTATCGTTCCTTGAGCAATTGGTAGAGCAGGAATGAAATTCTAGCTCAAATCCAGATTCCTAAATTATCTTATTCTTAGTGACACAATGGCATATTTCTTCACATTCTTAGAATATCTTCCAAGTTCAAAAGTTCTTTTATCTGTAATCATTTGAACTAAGCATTTGAGCTTCTGTGTTAGGAAATCAGAGCATGGAATGGTTAGCCTTATTTCTACCAGAAGGAAACTAGTGGTTAAGTAATCAGCCAGAGGTCTCAGAGCCAGGCTCTTTTCCTCACAGCAAAAAGTCTTTCATACAATCACTCCCATGCACTTATTTTAGGAAATCTATCACCATTGGACCTTGCCCATCATTACCCAATCTTTTCAAATCCCTGCAGGACCATTCCTATTTCTAAACATGATATAAATGAAGAATAGTGTGAAACATATATATGAATTTTGTGAGCAAATCAATATAAAACAAAACAAACAAAAAAGTCTTTCTTGGGTATAGTTCCTATCCTGAAACTTACAAAGGACTGCAGGAGCTAATAATTACATTTTGAGGGTATCATAACAACTGTTGCCCCCAGCCCAGCAATGTGCCTTCTTCTGTGAAGAAGAAAAATAATAATCCATGAAAGATGAGAATTAAAGAGGGCAGAGTTAACGAACACATAATGAACAAGAGGCAGGACTTAGATGGACCTTGGAAAGAAGATAGACGTGTTTGAAATTGACAAAGAAAGTCAGGGAGGAATAAGCAGGGAATGTGCAAAAGGGCTGGTAACCCAGAAACAATGAAATAGCCAGCTATGGTGGGGCCCAGTATGTAATGCAGGCAACTTAGCATAAGGGAATAGGCAAGTGAGTGTCCATTTAAACAAACCAGAGTGATGACTTTAGCTGGAAAGGTTAGGTAATATGTTGTTGTTGTTGTTGTTATGTGCCGTCGAGTCATTTGCGACTCATAGCGACCCTACGCACAACAGACCCTAAACCCTGCCCTATCCTGCGCCAACCGCACCGTCTGACACACCCATCCCGATTACCCCAGTCACCGATTCAATCCATCTCATAGAGGGTCTTCCCCTCCTGCGCCGTCCCTCCACCCTCCCAAGCATGATGTCCCTCTCCAAGGACCCGTCCCTCCTGGCAACATGTCCAAAATATGTCAGACGAAGCCCCAGAATCCTTGCCTCCAAGGAGTAGCTTGGTTTAATCCTCTCCAAGATGAATCTGTTTTCCTGGCAGTCCATGGTACATTCAGTACTCTTGAGGGACTTAAAATACCGGGATATGAAAAAAAACAACCCAAAGGCTGAGAAGGAGCTTGAAAATATAAAATAGGAAAGAAAAGCGGGGGGGAAGCTAGAACTTTTTATTAAAGTGCTGACTTATTGCTGACTTGACCCCCACCCTTATGCCATTCCCTCTATCCTGGTCTCTTCTGTGTTCATTTTGAAGTCATATTTTGCCTTTAAAAAAAATCTCCTGCCACAAACTTGCATTTTCTTTGGCCTTTGGCCTTTCTGACCTTGCTGTGCCTGACTGCTTTTAGGACTGCTGACTCGGAACTATGTGACCTGGCCACTGGCTCGGCAGTCACCTCCAGTCTGCCCTCGCCCTGGCATGCCTAGTTATCCTATATGGCACAGGGCAAAGCTATGCTAGCGCAGAGCAGCTGACACCAACCGCGAGGACCATGAGAATACACAGAGGTATGTGTGAATTTGAGCCAAGCACCATTTGTGAAGTTTTTCCTTTTCAAATCAAACGGCAGGACTTCATAGTAATTCCTGGTGGATTTTAGGTTTTGTTACTTTTGTCCTGAGTTTCTCTGTCTGATGACATCATATTGGAATGAGTTCAAACACAAAAAGTTAGAAACGTGTGCTTCCTAATGTCTTTCTATCCCCAAAGGACAGCTGTGGTTAGCTGCTGCAGAGTCAGCCTCTGACTTGTAGCAACCCCATGGACAGTGGAAAGAAATGCAAGCTGACCCAATGCCACCCCCATGAGAGGTTATGAACTGGACTGTTGTCACTGCTGTGTTTTCATTGGCTGATTTCTGGAAATAGATCAGCTGGCCTTTCTTCCTAGTTCTTCGTCCGCTGGTTCCACTGAAACCTGCTCACATCACAGAAACACACAGGCCTCCACTGACAGAGGGATGGTAGCTGCACGAGAAGTTCACTGGCTGAAAAGTGCACCCAGGTCCTGCCGTGCACATGACCAGGATCCACCACTGAATCATCAGTGACTGAGTCCAAAAGGTTAAGGGTTGCGTAAACAACGTATAGTGAAGCTGTTCTAGTTGGCACTGGCAATGAGTCTAGAAAGAGAATTTTAGTATCATTACCACTTTCAATTTGACGAGCTCTGATGGCCTAGTGGTAAGAATTTGCGCTGCAATCCGAAAGGCAAGTAGTTCAATTCCGCCAGCTGCTCAGTAGGAGAAGGACGGGCAATCTTCTCCCAGGCGATTAAGTGCCTCTGAAAACCTGCTGGAGGGTCTGCTATGGGTTGGTTCTGACTCGATGGTACACCACCACCACAACAAGAAGGA